CTGCAGGGGATCAGGGTGGGTTTTTAGGAGAAAACGGGGGAATTCAGGCACGCTGCGCCCCGCCCCGTGCAGCACAGGCCTCACGGCGGCGCTTGCAGCCTCTCCAGCTCTAACCCCAGCCCATTATTGCACCAGCCCCATCCTGTGTGGACAAGGGCCCATCCAAGCACTGCCCCGTGCGAACACCCACCTGCTTTTCCTCGAAGCAGCAGTAGCTAAAAGCTGCAGAGAGGCCAAGCGCTGCTGCTGAGCAAGAAGAAACCTACAGGATTCTGCTTGTGGCAGCAAAGGAGTCGGGAAAATGCCATTTTTTAAAAGGGTTTTATTTGGACACTTGCAAATACTTAAGCCTCATACAATTCAGTTCTTACAGTCTTTTCAGAAGGAACATTCAATTCTCCCAACGAAAACCAAAAATGATCCTCTAACCTGTGAACACCAGGAATCCTGTCCGTGGTTTCTGGAGAAAGGTGGTGTCTCCTCCAAGCAGAAGCCCAGTGAGCAGGAGCAGTGCACATCCTGGGGCTGCACAGACACTGCCGCTCCCCTGGAGGCCACGAGCACGGCGGGCATCGTGTCACACGCTTGTGCCATGACTGCCACCACCGCTGCCCGCGGGGTGCCCTAGGGCAGCACTGCCCGGCGTGCGTGCAGCCCACGGGACGCAGCCCACGGGCCAGGGCAGCGGGGAGCTGGCGCACGAGCTCGCGGCTCAGGCACAAAGCACAGCCTGCAGCAGGCTGCTCAGAGCCTCTGAGCAAAGCAGCATTGGGAAGGGAACGCCAAAGCTTTCGTTTTTTTCTAATTAGTGCTTTGCATGCTCTCAGATGGTCCATTTAGTTCCCTATGTAAATTGAAACACTGTATGCACAGAGAAAGGACAAGCTCCTTCCCTTCTCTTAAATACAGCACCAAGCATGCTCCAGCCTTTTCAAACTACTTTGTTTCTCCCCTCTTCCAGAGCTACCCCTCTGAACATCACCTCCTTCCTCTACTTTGTCACACATTCCTCCCCAGATGCCCAGTGCAACTTCTTGCACCAACTCTCCTTCTATCTTTAGCTTTTAGGACTCATTCTCCTAAAAAGAAATTGTTTCCCCCCACCAAAAGCAGGGTGGTTATTAGATGGAAAGGAGAGACACCCTGGGCTTCGGTGACAGGGTATTGTCCATTCCGGCTGCCCACACTCCCTCCTCCTAGGGCTCCTCACCCCTGTGGATCTGCTGATGCCGGAGGAGCGCCGAGCTCACGGTGAAGCCCTTCCCGCAGCTGGCACAGGCGTAGGGGCGCTCGCCCGTGTGGATCCGCCGGTGCTGGATGAGGTGGGCGCTCTGCCGAAAGCTGTCCCCGCAGTCGGCGCAGGCGTAGGGCCGCTCCCCCGTGTGCACCCTGCGGTGCCGGAGCAGGGCCGACCTCCACAGGAAGCTCTTCCCGCACTCGGTGCACTCGTAGGGGCGCTCGCCCGTGTGGAAGCGGCGGTGCTGGATGAGGTGGGAGCTCACCGTGAAGCTCTTCCCGCACTCAGAGCACCCATAGGGGCGCTCGCCCAGGTGGAACCGCCGGTGCTGGATGAGGGCAGAGCTCACTGTGAAGCTCTTCCCACACTCGGAGCACGCGTAGGGCTTCTCCCCTGTGTGGACCCGCTGGTGCTTCATGAGCTCGGAGCTCTGGCTGAAGCTCTTGCCACACGCCGCGCACTTGTAGGGTTTCTCTCCCGTGTGGACCCTCTGGTGTCGCGTCAGGGCTGAGCTCACGCTGAAGCTCTTCCCACAGTGGCTGCACTCAAAGGGTTTCTCCCCCGTGTGCACTCGCCGGTGCTGGACCAGTTGCGAGTTCCCGGCAAAGCTCTTTCCACACTCTGCACACTTGTAGGGCTTCTCCCCCGTGTGCGTTACCTGGTGCCGGATCAGCTTCGAGCTCATGCTGAAGCTCTTCCCGCACTCGGAGCACTCGTAGGGTCTCTCCCCTGTGTGGATTCTCTGGTGCTGGATGAGATGAGATCGCTGGCGAAAGCTCTCCCCGCACTCGGCACAGCCAAAGGGCTTCTCTCCAGTGTGGATTCTCCGGTGCTGGACCAGGTTGGAGCTCACTCGGAAGCTCTTCCCACAGTCCCCACATATTGTCAGCCTCCCCGCTGCAGGATTTCTCTGCTGGCTGGAGTCTGGCAGCCTCCTGAAACTTTTTCCACGAAGCGTCGCTCTGTTTTGCCTCTTCCCCAGGGGAGTTCTCTGAACCCTTTCTGACCTGCGGGGGTGAACTGGATCCTGCTCAGGACTCTGGGAACTGTTCTCCTTGGGGAGTCCTGATAGCAAGTCTGGCTCCGCTGTCCAAGGAAGGCCTCCCTGGGGATTTGCCTGCTTCTTGCTCACAGTCTCATCCTCAGCTGCAACAAAACAGGAATCCAGACAGGAGTTATGGGCAGGAAACAATTTGCAAAGGAGATCAAAAAGGGATAAACTCTGAAAGTTTGGTAGAGATATTAGAGACTGATATTAAGTATAAAAACTCCTGGTATTTTTCTCCTATTCAAGGTATTTTGCACCGTCACAGGAACAAGCTCTGGGAGGAGCTCTGCATGTTTTGGAATGACCGGAGACCACCAGAATTAACTGTGATCAACCTTATTTTATTAGTTTGTCAAATCAAAACCAGTGAAATTCCAGCTCAGCTCCCTGTTTCGATCCTTACAAGACGAATGAGGTACAGACAGTCCACAGTGACAATTGCCACAGGCCTCGCCAGCAGGTGCGGGCAGCCCACGAGCGCTGCGGGAGGCTCGGCGGGCGCGGGCGCCGCTCGGGACACGGGTGGGCAGCGCCGCGCGGCCCCGCTCCACGCTCTGTCACTCTGTTACCCACTTTGCCACAAACAGCACGAAGCCATGAAGCAAGTCGGGAGCTCCCGCCACAAGAGCAGCCAGTTCTGCTTTTAGATCCCCTCCTTTTGACATGACATGATCCCAGATAAGAAATTCTGCCTTCTGCACAAAGGGGCAGGGCTTAAACCTACAGCGACTGTCGAGGCAGTGTCTGTTCACAGGGAGGGGTGGCCTGTGGGGCAGAGCAAACCTGTTTCTTTGCTGAATTGGGCTCTCAGTTAAAACAGATGTCAACAGATGTCAGAGATGTACAAAGTCTTCTTCAGTGCAGACTACATGCCCCAAATAACTACAGCGAAGACCATATAAAATAAGGCAAACTCTTCTCTTTGAGCAGAAGAAAGTAACTTTCTGTTTCCATCAGTGCAGAGCAAATCCATTGTGAAAGGCACTGCTGGTGAAAGACAGGTCTGAGGGTCGAGGCCACTGGCGATTCCCTGTGGCAAAGGTGAGAGAAGGAGCTCCTCCTAGACATTTGGAGAGAGAAGGAGATCTCTGTGCTGAACTGACCAAAATGAATAAGCTTGGGAGATGCGAGGAATGTGCGAGCTCCAGTTTTATAGGATGAGCGTACACATTAGGATAGATCCTAAACGTCCCTGTAAATGTACTGCTGGGTCTCTCTCAAGAGGAGCTGGCAGTAGCACGAGTTTTGGCCGATTCTACTTTGTCTTACAGCAGTAGTTGGAGCAATGGTCACCAGCATGGAAGTCAGAGCTCATGAAAGAGAAACCAAAGAGAACTATTAAAGATTAGACACCTCATCACAAGCAATCCTCAGACTGAAGGAAAGCAGTAGAGTGTGCTGGGAGGCACCGCTGTTTGCCAACTTATCTCATCCCCTTCCCTGTAACCAATACATGAGGGGGGACTCAGAGCTACATGGACCTCTAGTCTATCCCAGTAGAGTTGTTCACACAAGTTCACAACCCATCTGGGCTACTGAGTGTGGCATCTCACATCTGGGGGACTGGGAGGAGGCTGACGAGAGGCTCACCTTTACGAAGGGCTGAGAGGAGACCCAGGGACCAGCAAGCCCAATGGCCATCCCAAGCACATGAACAGAAGCCAGAACAAGATAAAATTAATGGGCACACAGCCAAAAAGGAAATACTGTGAAAGAGTTGTTACGACTTTTGAAAAGGGATGTCTCACCTCACAAACCTCTTGCAGTTCTCTGAGGTGTCACCCATTCAGCAGAAGGGAGGTCTGGAGTCCAAAGGCATTCACAAAAGATGTTTTGTCCTTTGCCAAACTGCTGAAGAAACTAGACTGCCATGGGATGAGAGATCCTAGATAAACTGGCAAAGGAGGGAAAGGGGAATTGGAACCATATGATGATGATTCAGTTATTCTGAATTAGAGGGACAAGAACTAACTGTAAAGAACCTGACAGTCATAGGATACTGATTGGCCAGAAGATGAAGGAACTACGTGGAGGTTCATTGCACGTAAACATGAAGACTTGCAAAGAGAAAAAGCCTCTCTATAGCTTGTACACCAGGATAGGCCTAAGATGTTCTTGGTATCACTCAGGAATAGCAGTTTGGAATTAAAACAGCACAACAACATCACATTTTCATTGTGATGAAAACCACAACTCCAGGGCAAACAAACATACAAAAATCTTGGTAAAAGTTATAAATAGATGGGAAAAGAATAGAGGATAAAATGTGTGATAAAATGTGATTCTGCTTTATGCCCAAACCCATGATAAGC